TTCCGTGGCATTGCTAGGAGCCAACACAGCATACCCAAGGAAGGAGTGATCTCAGTATGTAATCCTCTGTCCCTACGCCGGGACAAAGTGCGACCCCAGCCCATCTCTACGAACTTGCACAAGCTGGCTTACCATACCAGAGGATATTCAAACACGATACGACACGATACGAAACAGTAGAACTCAAACAGACAGGCATACAAATGCAAGTATGCATTCGCGACTTGTGCATCTTTAAGATGGCACGCAAACGAATCAAATGAATGCACAAATAATGCGTGGTGCATCTGCGCCAGGCTGAAATTCATGCACTAGCTGATCCTGCGAACCTGCAACAGACACAACTTGACACTTGAAACAGTTCAAAGGAATAACGGGGCAGTCCAGAAGTTCCGACCACTTCCGCGGTGACACCGAGCTTCTCTGGTGGAGGCTGTGCCAGCGGTCCTTCTGCGCTGATGAACAATAATTGTGTGTCACAACACATAACCCCCTTCCCCAATATTCAGGTGGGGGCACAACAAAAAACTCGGAAAGCGCTTTATGTGTGCAATAAAAGTGTGTATTGCAGCTCTACTGTTACTTTTGATGACGTTCTTGCTCCTGCTCCGGCTCTTGCTCTTGCATTGGCGTTTGCTCCTGCTCCTGCTGCGTCTCTTGCGCCTGCTCCTGCGCTTGCTCTTGCGCCTGCTCTTGCTGTTACTTTGGTCTTACCCTTGCTCTGGCTCTTGTCTTGCTCCTGCGGGTGCAAATTTGCTTTGGATTTCGGGAGGATTCCCAAAGTGTGTCCAGTATTAGGGCAGTGCCAGTACAAAGGCACAAGGCTACATCCCCGCGTTCCGGTCTTGGCGCCACAGCGAATAGAGCCCGAAGCTTCAATCAAAGCACACAGAGCGCATGCTGGGGCGGCTCGGATTCACGGTTGCCTGCTCAAGATTGGCTTGAGCGACTCGGCTGCACTCCGGTCAGTGTGTAGAGCTTCAGCTACGTGTCGAGACGAAGCAATTTGGAAGCACCCCCGAATCTGATTGAAGTCGTGGAACATGAGGAAGCCGTGAAATCTGCCACAGGCCTCTTGTCGGGCAATTTCATGCACCACCTCCAGAACTCAACAGAGTTGGCAGGTACCGGAGGCGCCGAGCTGTTGAGATTTGAAAACCCTCGGCAGCCTCATTCCGCAGCTGTTGGAACGCTTTGTTCTCCAAATGCGCATTATCCTTCCAAAGCAACGCTGTGAAAGCTACCCACGAATTCCAGCCACAAAATCTTGGATGCTCCTCCAAGACACCCAGAGCATCGTGTAGCCTTCCCAACTTTCGAAGGCAGATAGCTCGCCTGTACATGGCCTGGCCAGAAGAAACACTGCACGGCGGCGATTTGTCTGCAGCTGGAGTTGAGATTCAAAGCCAGGGGCTATGGACTGGCACCCAGGACAACTTCAAGCTAGAAGCTTGAAATTGATGATAGCGAAAAGGCAGCACTGGACTTCACATCAATCGATGGAGTTTGGTCGTCTCCAGTGTTGTGGCGCACGAAAATCCAGGAGAGGCCTTCACTTCCTCATTGATTCACCTATGCATGCTGCTCATCCTGGCCTTGGCATTCGCCGGATCTAACTGCAGGGCGCGCTTTGCGTCCAGCTCCGCCACTTCCCAACCTGGATCTACCGGCTCCCGAATGCGGTAAGCCATTGGCGGCCTGGCTACTTTACCGGGCTGTTCTCAGCTGCGGGCAGCCTTGCTGGATATAAGCATTGGAGCGGTTTAGCCAGTAGGAGCACTCCTTGGCAAAGGCCGGGCTAAAGGTGGCCAAGTCGAGCCCTCATGCGGAAGATCGCTGCACTTGATCTAGTTCACCTTGCGGCCGCCTCGTGCATTACCGCCCGTCCTCGGGGTCCACTGCGATGGCGCGGGTGTACGCCTGGAAGATCGCAAGAGATGTGCTAATGGCAATGTCAAGCCTCTCTGCTGCATGCCTCTATCGCGAGCTCAAACTCCTGCCGCTTGAAGTGGTCGTTGCCTTAGGGAACGCGACATTCCTCAAGTCTTAAACGACGAGTTTCACGTCGCCTGCCGTAGCTTCGTGCTACCGGCAAGTGCCAGGCACCGCAGAGCATATTCCAACCGAGACACCACGCTTTTTGAATTCTTCTGCTTCAGATGCCATGCCAAAGGGCAGACAAATGGCTAGAAGGCCGCAGATTCATTGTGTGGTGCTGTGGCTGGATTCCTTGACAGCGCGTTATGGGTAAGTTCGTCAACTGCTCTCTGTCGTTTCAAGGTACGGGACTCGAAACAATTTGTCCGAATCTGTCGTTGGTTTGGCTGACCCTGCTCACATGTGGTGCAGAATGGGAGCCAAAAGCCAGGAAAAGCGCGGCATCACGAGAAAGAAAGCGATTTGTTGTTGTGACGGTGGCCTTGGCACCATGCTATGCCCAGCCAGGAAATCTGCCAACTTGGTGATGTTTATGTACAGCTGCATGAGGCGGTATTGATATGTTTCTACACAGAATGTAGCCTGGCTCTAGCCTTCGGGAGTGCAGACGACTGGCGACAAGCGGTCACCACAGAACGCTTTTCTGTGTAATTCTTCTTAGTTTATGAACTGGGCAAGTACAGTAGCAAGTTCACGCCACAAACCTCTCCAGCGTACCTCAGCCCGTGTCTTAGGCGCAGACGAGGCGGGGAGGTGAAGCTTCACCTTGCGGGTGCAAGGCCGAAAGGCTGCACGCCATAGTCAGACTGCAGAAACGCCGGTAAGTCGCGTGGGGCTCGCTGAGAGTCTCCGGAGCTGGGCTGGAACCTCGGTGAGACGAAGGCGGCCAAGGTGGGGGCGCTGCGGATTCTCTTCGGGGGCCCGGCGGCGATTGAAACTCGCGACGCGAGGTGTTGCTGAACGCTGGAGCCAACCCAGAAACCTGCCACGCTAAGTACGGAACGAGGCCCACTTCGAAGCATCTTTTAGTTGCCAGCTGATGGCTTTTGCTACCAATCCGCAATTTTCGAAGTGCTCGTGGAACCTCCTCCACAGCCGGCTGATCCCAACGGCGGTCGTAAGCACTGCCTGCAGAAATGCTCACATCGGCACTCCTGTCATTTGTGACTCCCTATTTCTGTCAGTTGTGACTCCCTACGTTCCTGGCTCTTGGCCAGGTAAATCCCTGTCATTTGTGACTCCCTCCGCCTGGCATCACCACACATCACCTCACCCGAACGTGCTCTTATTCATTGGCAAGCCTGTGATTTCCTGTCGAACAAGCGCCCGTCATCTGTGACTCCCGACCCTTTTGCCTTGCTTTTCAATGTTGTTTTCACACAGCAACACGGGTCATCTGTGACTCCCTACTTTTTCTTGTTTTTGACAGGTTTTCCTTTTCGGTCGAAGCTTCCTGCTGGGTTCACGCCTTAGGGTTACTGCTTAGGGTTTTTGTCTTCGGTAATAGGTTCTTGCTGGATTTACTCCTTAGGGTCTTCGTCTTCGGTGAAACGTTCTTCTTGGATTCACCCCTTACGGTTTCATCTCTGGCAAAAGGTTCCTGCTGGATTCACTCCTTGGGGTTTTCGCCTTCGGTAACAAATTCCTGCTGGGTTTACTCCTCAAGGTCTTCGTCTTCGGTGAAAGGTTCATCTTGGATTCACCCCTTAGGGTTTCACCTTGGGCAAAAGGTTCCTGCTGGATTCACTCCTTTGGGTTTTGTCTTCGGTAATAGGTTCCTGACGGGTTCACTCCTTAGGGCCTTCGTCTTCGATGAAAGGTTCTTCTTAGATTCACACCTTGGGGTTTCTACTTCGGCAAAAGGTTCATGCTGGATTCGCTCCGTAAGGTTTTTGTCTTCGGCACTGGGTCCTGCTGGGTTCACTCCTTAGGGTCTTCGTCTTGGGTGAAAGGTTCTTCTTGGATTCACCCCTGAGGGTTTCATCTTCGGCAAAGGGTTCATGCTGGATTCACTCCTTAGGGTATTCGTCTTCGGTAATAGGTTCCTGCTGGGTTCACTCCGTAGGGCCTTCGTCTTCGGTGAAAGGTTCTTCTTAGATTCACCCCCTTGGGGTTTCTACTTCGGCAAAAGGTTCATGCTGGATTCACTCCTTAGGGTTTTCGCCTTCGGTAACAAATTCCTGCTGGGTTTACTCCTCAAGGTTTTCGTCTTCGGTGAAAGGTTCTTCTTGGATTCACCCCTTAGGGTTTCACCTTGGGCAAAAGGTTCCTGCTGGATTCACTCCTTAAGGTATTCGTCTTCGGTAATAGGTTCCTGCTGGGTTCACTCCGTAGGGCCTTCGTCTTCGATGAAAGGTTCTTGTTGGATTCACTCCTTAGGGTATCTACTTCGGCAAAAGTTCATGCTGGAATCGCTCCTTAGGGTTTTTGTCTTCGGCACTGGGTCCTCCTGGGTTCACTCCTTAGGGTCTTTGCCTTGGGTCAAAAGTTCTTCTTGGATTCACCCCCGTGGGGTTTCATCTTCGGCACAAGGTTCATGCTGGATTCACTCCTTAGGGTTTTCGCCTTCGGTAACAAATTCCTGCTGGGTTTACTCCTCAAGGTTTTCGTCTTCGGTGAAAGGTTCTTCTTGGATTCACGCCTTAAGGTTTCACCTTGGGCAAAAGGTTCCTGCTGCGGCGACGATCAGCTGCTTCTTCTGCACGATGCCGCTGTGCGATATACAACATTATACAATATATTCCTATATTATGTTATGTTATATTACGTTTCAATATACACTACTGTATTAAACTGTATTGTTTTTATATTGAATTGTACTACATTATACTATAGCATAATATAGTCTAGTACAGTACAGTATAGCCATAGTATAATGTTTGATATTATATTATATATTGTATATCATATAATATAAATTATACATTATATTTAATATTATATATATATATTCTGTTATATATTATATATTCTAAATTATATATTATTATATATTATTATATATTATTATATATTATACAATATACATTATACATTATATATTACATTTTGTATATGATATAACACATATTTTATATATTATGTATTGTATATAGAATATTATATATTATATATTATAGATTATAGATTACATATTCTATATGCTATATTCTATACTCCATATTATATCTTATATATTATATAATACAATATATATATATGTATAATGTTATATTATATTTTACTATATTATATTATATGTTATATTATAGTATAGTATACCCTGATATATTATTACAATATAGATATTATATATTATATATTGTATATTTTATAATGTATATGTTGTATTACATGTTACCCATTGTACATTATATATGAGACATGATATTATATATATATATATATATATATATATATATTACATACTACATATTATGTGTTATAATATATATATATATATATATATATATATTATATTACATGATAATTCTGTATTGGAAGCGAGCATCTTGTTGTGCGAAAAATACACCGCTCCTAGGGAAAAAACACTACTTTCATGCGAAAGTGCACCGCGCCTAGGAAAAACTGCATTTTCAGCGAGAAAATGCACCACGCCGAGGGAAAACCAATATTTTTCAAAAATTAGCACCGCGCCTAGGAAATATTGCAGATTCGTGCAAACTGACTACAGTCATTTGTGACTCCCTGTTTTCCGTTTCAAAGATCAAAACAATCGGGTGCATGTGCTGGCATGTACCAAAACCCTGCAAGGGTCTCCATTTTCAGCCGTTGAACCACCTGTCATTTATGACTCCCTGGTCGGCTTTTGGACAACAAGGTTCGTGAAGACAAACGTTCAACAACATCAAAAGAGCCTAGGGAGTCACAAATGACAGGAGTGCCCTCACATCAGAGTTTCAGTCAATCCGACTGGAAGCCGAAGGCAGGCAATCAGAAATCTGACTCTAGATCTGCGACGGACAAATCGTTGCGGGTAGCGTCCGGTGACGGGAGCCTGCATGCTTCTCCGGATTCTCGACATGCTCTCGCCTGGTGGCAATCGCACAAAGCACTTTTTCGAGCCATGAGCTGCCGCTCCGCCGCCCTAAGGGGCGAGCTCGAAGGCCGCTTGTGTCCGCGCCTGCCACCGCGAAAAGCCAAAAGCGAAGACGCTTCCTTTCGAAGAAGACGCACCTGGATCTGCGCGTCGTTCTCCCATGCAACCTGCAAGTATTTGCACATGGTGCACTCAATTTGCGGTCCACTCCAAAAACTACATCTAGCTTGCCCTTTGATCTAGCCTGTCATAATGCTAGCCATGCCCCCAAAGCTTGGTCCCGCAGTGACCTCCAAGGGCGGTCCGAAAACCTGAGCATGTGGACAGATTCACTGCGCTGCACTCGGGGATTTGTCTGCGTCTGGCCGTCTGGCCTGGCATTGCATGAGCTGCTCGATCCGCTGCCGGTGCTCACACAAGCGCCTCAGGGACTCCGAAGAGTTCCACCAGCACAGCACATCGCACCAGCGCTCCCATAGCTGTCAGCGCATGAGGCCAGAGCCAGGCGCGCTCGCGAGGCAACACGATTAGAAGGTCATCCACAGCCTGAGCTCTTGCTTGTGCGACCTTGCATAAAGCGGCAGCCTCTGCTGCCGAAAGCCTCAAATACGAAATGCCCACCTACTTCCAACCGATGCATACACACGATCCACCGGGCTCCGGTCGCAATCTCCACCCACTTTTCTCGTGCGCAGACCCGTCCTTGGCGAATTTGGCAGCAGTTTCCAGCACTGGCGGGCTGCTTCAACACTGGGAGCCTGGAATCAGTCTAATCTGTGCAGTGCCTGCCAGTCAGCCAGAGGTCCATCACGCCATCACCGCTCCCGCATCATAAGTGACTGACAGCTGCACGGCGACCCCAACACTGGCATGGTCGCACTTCAACCAAAGCCTGCAAGCTTTCAGGATTTATGCTCGGTGGCACTCTCTGACTGGGTTCCGTTTTGTACGTCTTCAGCGGTGTTATGCCTATGAAACTGTGGTTTCACGACTATGGCAAAGGGTTTAGGACGGCGATGACCCCTTTCTTGTTGACGGGCGGAGGGATACTGGGATGTGCACCGCAGACACTGCCACAAAGCCACAGCCCCATGTCAGCAAAACCCCTGAAGTACCAGAGCGGGACCAGAAAATAGTACAAAGCGATCCTGCTATTCGTCATGCTCGGGGCGTGGGCATGTGTGGATCCATGCATCCCTGAGCTTTCGATATACTCGTGAATCACTGTAAGTAAGATGCAGCCGCGTTGCCGGTTGCGCTCTAGCCCAGTGGCTACTGAAAGATTCCTCAGAATTTCTCAACTGTGCCCACACTAACAAGATGCGGAGAGCTCACAGCGAAACGTCTAACAGTCTAACGAGTCACCTGGTCATGGTGTCGCGGCAGGGACAATTCTGGATGCAGGCGCATCTGCAAGAGGATATACTGTGACTCTGGATCAATTCGAAAACAACCGAAAAGCAAAAGGCGGGTATGGTGCGCCAGCATCACGCAGCTGCAAAAACATCATGAACACTGACGCCCTGCAACACATCCACCGCATTTCGGTCAAGCATCGTTATCCTTCCGAACGCAGTCCCGGCAACGAAGAACCTGGAGTCGCAGCAACACACCTTTGAATTGACAAGGATGCAATCAAGTCAGCTGCGTCAAAATGGGGCCACCACTGACCGACGACGAGGCGCCCCATCCGCACGAGGGCAGTCCTCAGCGAGCCATTATCAGATTCTGCGAGTCCGACTGCGAAAAGCTCATTTCTGTCGCCAAGACTCAGCACCATCTCGCCTTGCTCCTCACCGGCCTTGGAGACCTGGCACATTCTTAAACCCATCTAGCTTCCAGGAGCTCTTGCTGAAAATCTGCGAGTCTAGACAGATCGTGGTCACAGGGGTGATCGCCGTAGTGTCGAATCTGAAGAACATGCATCTCACGGTGATTGCTTGTGACACAAGCTTTCACAGGATTGTCGCCCAGATCCTACACCTGGCAAGCCGCAACGTCTTCGACCTCAATCTCAGGCTTACCTCCCCACATTTCCCAGCAGGGTCCCTGGAAATACACTGTTTACAGTTACTTTAAGTTGCATTCGCTTGGCATTTGCTGATTGCTTCTGACCTGTTGCATTTGTGTTGCATGTGTGCTGCACGGTGGTCTTTGTTATGTCTTGGTCGCATCTTTGTCTTGGTGTTCCTGGTTTGGTAGCTGCGACACATCCGGATGTAAGGACATGTATCCAGAGGCGAGCAGCTGCAGCTTGTCTTTGGCATTCATCTCGGCCCTTCCCGAATCCTTCGGTGTAGCGAAAAACACTCGCCGCCCTCCCTTCCCCTCACGGCCGACTCCGACCACTCCCCCCCGACCCAGCAGACCCAGAACAGGATCGCATGCGGTCTGCTTCAAACCACCGACAGATACAAACAGAATTTTCCTAATTTCCAGCCTCTGCAAGAACGAACAACCAAAATGCAAGCCAACACAACAAGCAAACGAAATCACAAACAAAGTGCATGCCACAAAACAAACGACAATCCAAATGCAAGACAACAACAGAATGCATTGAAAAACACAGACCACGAAAGCTAAACAGAATGCCAAACACAATTCTGAAATGTTTGCAAAACCACCCATTCTGTGGTCCGGAAGTTCTTTCAACTCAGAGTCATCCACGTGCATACAATGTTGAGCACCACAAGCCTCCAAGATCAATGCCACAGCAGTGGGCGCTGCGTCAACCCCGACCAGGAAGTCTGTTCGGCGCGGCCTCGAATGGCGTTTCTTTGAGGACGATTTGCCAGGCACCCGCGTGATGTGTGTAAGCGCTGTTCTTTTCTTACCGAGGCTGGGGGTGAGCTTGCGTGATTCGAGCGAAAGAGGCCCCTTGAGGTCGACTGGAGGTACGTCGCATTGGAAGAACACGATCCGGCTCCCATCCAACAAAGTAGCTACCAGCACCTTTGTGGACGGCAGCAGTACTCCAATATACTCCCATCCTACTCCCGTCCACAAAAGGAGCTGCTTACCAGGGAACAAAGCTATTTCTTTGGCTTCATTGGATAATGGCTACTTGCCACTACTTGCTGAAAGCAAGTGGGACGGGAGTAGAATGGGAGTATGACAGGAACAGGATGGGAGGGAAGGTGGGGCTAGGGGCTGAAGAGAAAGAGTTCGGGAGAGCCCTTCATGCATGGTTCGACACACAGCCCTCATGTAAGGCAATTCACTGGCTTACGCAGATTAACCAGCTGTTGTGCTTACAATTGCTTACAACCTACTCCTATAATACTTCCTTACTAAGCATGTCCGGGGAGTAGGATGGGAGCAGGATCGTAAGACGGAGAGGACCCGCTTCCCGAAACATTGCAGCATTCCCCAAGCGAGCAACAAGCAAAGGCTTCGATGTCCCAACTTGAAGTTCCGGATGCGGGCATAAACTCGGAACAACATTAGATCAACAAAACACAATAGAAAGCCTGTGACGAAGCAGACAGCTGAGCTCCGCGCACATGCCTGCAATTTTGCGCCTGCAGATGATTTGCAATGGTTTGCTCCGACACAACTTCCCGCACAACTTGCCGGACATGCGACCCCAAACTGCTGACAAGAGACTGCATATGCTGCTTGATCTGAGCCTATAGCACGGGATCTTTCTTGGCAAACACTGCGAAGGCAAGGGCACACAAACGATTCCAGGAGCTTCATGCTCCCCAACTTTCCAGTTTCGCATTTTCGCAAAGCTGCCTATCAGCGCAAGGATCACTATGCCGCTATACACTCTGCTTAGCAGAGTTTGGCCCGACCTGGCCACTGGGAAACAGGCTTGTGAGGCTCTGCCCTGCACAGTCACGAACACGAACATGGTCTATGGTCTCGGCTTGCTGCAGGTCGGCGTACATAGTTACGTCAACTTCTCGTCCTCGCCTCAGGCCATCTGGTCCCAGGAAAAATCGCTGAGACTCTGCCGCAAAGTGCTAAGAGTCCAAGACAAAGCTGTCGAAGCCCGTGGCTTCCAGGGCCTCAGGGTCATCCCCTCCTACCCCGCTAAATGCTCTCACCTGTCACCGATTCCCACATCCGGCATCAATGGCCCCTCCTCAGTGCTCGGCATGCTTTTAAGCGCATTGAGGGCAACTCTCTGAAACATCCCTGCTGTTCCGCTTCCAAGCTTCTCGGAAGGCGCATTCGGCCGCGCGCCCAGTCGCATGATTTGCTTGTTGCCAAACCTTCCACGGCGGAAGCAACCTCCTACCCCTGCGAGAATGGATCCCACTACAACAGCAGCCGGGACACTTGAACGTCTCTTCCCGGTGGAGGACGAACACGTCCCGCGCACTGACGAACGACTTCACGGGCCCGAAACGTTTCCTAACAAGGGCAGCAAGGATAACCTCAAAAAGGCCTGAGAACAGTCGACCAGTCGACGGGCGGCTGGCTCGAGCTGCTATGTGCATGCTTCACCGACAAGAAGCACAGCACATCTGTTGCGGAGCCTTGCTCTCCGACATTCTCCGACAACGAACATTCCATAACATTCCTAAATCCTCCTGAAGTCGTCCATGGCTCGGCTTGTGGTCCACAAAGCTCGCTTTGGCCTTTGCCAGCCGAAGCTTGAGGGACGGCCCAGGGTTTCGGGAATAGGATGCCCAGAAAGGCTTCTGAGGTAGTCTTACAGGATTGAACAATCAGCCGGCCCCCTGGGAGCTTTCAGCGAGCCCAAAACAGTCTAAGGCCTTTCGAAAGCGCGACAAAATGGTTGGCCTCGGACATCTCCGGGCAGATCTCGTAGACGCCTACCGTGTTGGACCAAATCGACCTGAAGCAGATTTCAGCTTCGGTTCTTCCACGAGCTGGCGCGAGAGGTTCCCAAACGCCCGTCCGCCTCGACAGAGCTCGATGCCTGGCGCAAGATTTCGATGCTCTTAAAGCTCTTTGCAGATCTGCAGTATTCATCGCATCTTGCAAGATCGTCAACTAACACAACATGCCAGCCATAAGCAAGTCACTTCAGCCGCAAAGCACGATAGTATCTGGCCGTCCCGCCTGGAGGGTAGCACTGGTGCTGTGCCAGGCTCCACCTACCGTTGAAACTCTCAAACTGCGAACTCACAGACTCGTATCACTGTCAAAACTCGAAAATCACCGGGTGCACACCCTGACGCACTCTAGCTCCAGCCTGCAAAGCTGGAACTTCCGGCAGCTAAGCAGCTACACCGACTCTCAAAACCGGGAACTCTCGATGCGAAAATGATGCCCTCGGACTCTCGGGTGACACGCAATGCCAACTTTGATCGAGGCATCAAACTCTGAAAGCTGTCGGCCACTGACACAACGAAGAAACTAACAAAGTCAAGCGGGTCCCTCGCAGCGTCTTCCTGATGTCTGTACAACATGTCCGTGTTTCACGCAGATTGTTTGGTGGAAGACAGCGCTTGTTGTGCTGGACACGTTGGGGTTTGCCTGTCAATACTCTAGGTCTCGAACTTGCCACCTAAAGATAGGCAAAGCGTGGCAGCCACACAAAGGTTGCAAACTGCTCACTTTTGAGAACTGGATGCCCATCCGAACTGCGCATCGGCGACCTTTCGGGATTGTTGGGAATCAGACGCCGACAACCCCTAACTTGCGCACAGTGTCCCCAAAGTCTCCGACGTTTTCCACACGTCGCGCCACTTCACGATGCCTCGAGCTTGAAGCTTGCGAGCATCCCCTTGTGATTCTCTCTCCGCAGCCGCGGCCCATATGCCCTGTTTTCTAGCCATTCCTTCTGAGCTCATCAAGACCATCGTGGTCATCCCGAAAATAAGTCCGTGCACACATGTCCAAATCGCGGATCGCGGCCAACAGTCACCGGCTCCCGGATTGTGAATTTGCACATCTCCTTTTCCAGCGTTTGGGGCGTGCACGCAAAGATGTGTTTCAACGGCCATGGAGTTCCAGGACGTTTATAGGGTTTGCGAGCCAGAATACTGTGCCCGGCAGAAGCGCGGCATTAAGGCTTGGGGCCTAGGGCTTGCGTGCGAAAAGATATCTTCAGAAGGGTCGAGAGTTTTACAGTCACCGTTTCCATTCAGTGCTCGGTTTTCCAAGAAACATGTTGCTCCGGATTTACATTTGGTCACTTAACATACCGGTTTGGGCTACAGGCTGTACCAGAAAGCACTCGGTATTACGGATTAGGGCTTGTGGGTTTATCCAGCTATTAGCATTTACGATGCAACATGTTAGTCTGTGTTCTGGGTGTCTCAGCCAAAGCCTCACTGTAGGGGTGAAGGGTTTGCAGCAGACATCCGTGATCGGTTCGTGAAACGAAACTCCAGCGTTTGCCGACAAACACGTCGTTTGAAAGTTCAGCAGTGCGGCAACTATGATATTTGGGTTCGGGGGCCGAACTCGACCACTGCGTTTTGCGCAGTTCAGGTCCGCCTTCCCCACGACATCACTATCAACTCTGGCGCTTAGGGGCGTTGTCGTAATTCGAACCCTAAGAAACACCAGCCCCTTTCCTTTCACAAACCTATAAAACCCCATCCAAAAAAAACAAAAAAAACAAAAAAACAAAAAAAAACACACACAAAAAAAAAAAAAAAAAATTATTTCAGTGCTCTTCCAGAATAACATTAGAAACACACACGAATGGGATAGTTCTGAAAGAATGGTTTTGTTTTTTTTTGTTTTTTTTTTTGTTTTGTTTTTTTTTGTTTTTTTTGTTTTTGTTTTGTTTTTTTTTGTTTTTTTTTTGTTTTTTTTGTGTTTTTTTTGGTTTTGTTTTTTTTGTTTTTTTGGTTTTGGTGTTTTTGTTTTTTTTGTTTTTTTGGTTTTGGTTTTTTGGTTTCGATGCTTTGAGACACATTGGCTACGTAGCCAAAAGAAGCCGATGCGTGTCAGTCGTGTGCTGCATCACATATATCGCTCATGCAACACTGGTCTCACTCATGCCGTATACAGTTTGTGATTCGCGGTGTTCCGTACTCAAGCCTAGTATAACGTAGTTCTATTTTCCGGTGACTCATATCTGCACAGCAGTCGCGATTCATGACAAGCTTCCGGTGGCCTCCTCAATACTTATTAGACTATCTTGGTTGGAAAGGACTGTAGTGATACAAAATGAAACTAACGTGCAACCTCTCACCAACTGAACTAGTATCATTCCAACCACTATATTAAGTAATCTCTTTAGTCTTGTACTCTACTAGGCTTAAACATTAGAACCACTGAGATGTAATGATGTAAGCCTTCACATAACATCACTAGAACACACATGAAAAACTTAGACAACTTGATTTGTATTAACCTCTACACACAGCTAACCTAGACCATTCATGCCAATGCCACTACCTATAGCTGTTCATCGAGTGTTAGTACGTCATTTTAATACAGCACAAGACAATACATATAATAGTCCTAATGGGGTAGCATTGATTGTACTTAATGGTAAGACATAATGAAAAAGTGCAACAACATAACAAGAGTCATGAAAATCTATATCAATAGCAGCACTAATTACCAAGTATAATACCGGTTGAACCACCTATTGTAAACAGACTGTATGAAAAATATACTATAACAGTTAACATTAGTTGTGAAATAGTATCAGTAGACATGCATTACTTGTCCAGGGATGTAGAATACCAACTACATGATCGTAACGAACAAGTTGGTAATGATCATATAACCAATGTATTAACCTGTAAAGTTAGCTCTTGTATCACTGTTGCATACTAGTTGTAAACATATGATGTGTCCAAACTAATTTATCCTAATAGACAAAGACAACTCATAGCCTCATAGCTCAGGTTATCCGATTATAGACAAGTTAACCAAAGACACTAAACATGCAATAAGCCAGCTATTGTTAAACTATTGATTATCGAATGCTGGAAGGGTAGACTTCTGGATTCCCAAAGAACTAAACCAAACATTGATAGAACATAGCATCACCTCCAAATATGAACCAAATGCTATTGTATTAAGTGCATATCTGTTAATAACCTTAAATTGTGAAGCATCGCACCTGTTAAGATTGGTAGAACTATTAATAAGATAGATGATGTAGTCCTAACTGATCTAGTTATATGTTGGTTATGTAGCTTAACATCAACCTAATGATTGCACAATGTGACAAGTATTACAGAACTTATATAGATGTTAATGTTGATGACAGAGCTGATATAGTTAAACTATAGATAGTAAGATTGATACCGCGCACATACACACACACAATTCTCAGCATATTCCTAAAATATGCAAAACGCAGCGGTCGACTTCGACCCCGTAACCGATATTTGAGTGTTTATCAGCTTTTCCCACCCAACATGTCGTTTCAACTGGCAGGATCCCGAAGGACACACCAAATCCTTTCCCCCATGTACTGCTGCGATTCGTTGTTTAGAACAGCAAGTGGTCCATGTATCGTAACATGCTGCCTAAATAACACGACGTGGGCGTGGGGACCAAATTTGCAATCTATATAACCGGTCGCGCACAGATCTGATTTCGGATTTATCTAGGCGTTCCCATGCAAGATCTCCCGTGCCGGTTCAGAGTTGCAACGCAAAGTTTTCTTGCTTTGCTACCCCTGTATCCCAGTCAATGGTTCAGCCAGACGTCCGTTTGCGATCACACACCCTTTGAAGGTCGATGTGTTCGCCGATTGAAGTTTTCAGCGTCAAGGTTAAAGCTTCCCGTTTCCCAGCTCCCACATTTCCTTTTGTGTTTCAGGGTTTGCGGATGCAGATATTTCGTCCGAGGGCTCGGCTTTTGATTTGCCGACAAACGTGTGATGTTACCCACTGTTTTGTTTCAAAAGCTTTCAAGTTGAGGCAACATCTTCTTTTGTCAACGGTAGGTTTCACGCTCCGTTCTTTCGTTGTCGGTCCATCCCTCCCAATCCCTCCCTCCTTCCCTCCCTCCCACACTCTCTCTCTCTCGCTCTTGCTTGCTTGCTGCGGGACGAGGTCCAGTGGGCTGGACCCGCGCCGAAGCGCCCCTCCACCCTCTTAAGTTTAAGAGTGCAAAGGCTTTGGGGTCAGAGGAATGATTTTTCATTCCAACGGATGGCAAACGCGCGGTGAAGTTCGGTTGCTGTACAAACCTCCCGGCCTCATCACCGCGCCCTCTCGGGCCCGTCCTTAGTACCTACAGCAACCGACTTTCCCCCAAGCAAGAACAAGTGGCGGCATGTAGGGTTTTCAATTATAAACTCTGAAGAAACAACAGGGTAACTAGAAGACAAGCCGTCCAATTCCTCCCAATGCCAGTGTCAGTAGGCCTTTTACTCCGCCCGTTGGTGTTGCAAGTGTTGCGCTACCGAACAACCTGGGCTCTTTACTTGCCAATCGGGGAACCCACCAGTACTCGTGATCTGCATGGTTAGTGTTGGAATGCTTTACCAAGAGAAGATGGGGGAGCCATCAGGTAGGCTCTTTCACCAAATGATAGCACAACGCTAGACGCTAAACATTGCAAGCTCAGGTCGGAGCAAGTGTCCCCGAATCAAGTGGATGGGCGGCAAAATTAATCGGAAAGCAGAGTGTTTGGCAGGAGCGCAACAAAAAGGGGGGCAGAGTGGCTCCACACTGGGCTTCGCTGTCGCTGTCTGCCCAATCCACGTCCTCTGCCATGTCGTGCAGGCTGGCTTCACTTGGACCTGGCTCGGTTTGGACTTCCTGGGTTCCGCCTTCTGCGGTCGCTGAGTGACTTGGTGTGTCGCTGTCCTCAGTGTGGTTTACTGGCTCCCCCTTTGCTCTGCCGGGCTTGCGGTGTTCCTCCAGATCTTGTGGTTTTTGGTGTCCTTTTTGTCTTGAAGCATCTGCTTCTTGGCATTACACTGCTCTTCCCACGTAGTGTTCATCTTGGCAAGTTTAGCAGTAGGGAACCTGGGGCTGTGTTTTCTCCCTTCTCCCCCCCGACTGGGGCCTTTCGAAGAGCTTGCCACTGAAGAAGTCGTGGTACTGGCAGTCCCCTCCCACAAGCAGATGGTATGCTCCGTCCCCTACGGGCCACCCTCCAAAGGAGGGGCCGCGGTCAGGTTTCAAAGGAACTTGCGAGCACGGGCGGGCCTCTTAAGCAAAGTGGCGGCGGGCGGGAAGCTCAAGCACGGGAAAACCAGACAGCTCCCCCGGAGTAAACAGCTCCAGATCAACCTCTCGTCTCCCCCCAAGAGGCGGCACAGGCCCTCAAGCAACGGTGCAGCCCTCCCCCGCTCTCTCTCTTGCTTGCTTGCTTGCTTGCTTAGGGTATAGTGGCCCAACTCTCTCTCTCTCTCTCTCTATCTTCCCCCCTCTCCCTCCTCCATCCCTCCTCCCTCCCGCCTCCCCGCAGTTCCTTCCAATCCAGTGACTCCAGTGACATTTGTTGGTAACGCAAAAATGTCATGAGGATCCTTGGCAGGTCGCCTGGCGACTTTGGGTCGGCGCGACATCGTCCTTATGATGTACCAATATCTCAAGACTCAAGACGGGAGCTTCCAACACCGAACATGCTGGCTGTGATATCCCCGCAAGTGCGAGGGCCCAGCGGGGCTCCGCTGCCTCATGCTACTAAAGATGATCGGGGCAACTAAGCTCCTTGTTGATTGTTGGCATGTTTCATTCGCAGTTCGCGATGCCTAGGGCAGGCTTGGTTGCCCGTTTGGATTTGTTTCCATACCCGCTAGATGGCCGGGAAGTCTGAATGGGCAGTGCGATGGGCCGTATGGCCAGCCTGCGCATCCGAGAATCCCAGACCGGAGCACGAGACAGTTCCATCCGGAGGAGTACAGGGTGTCCGGAAGAGGAAGGGGTCGGAGGGGTTCCTGATCCTGATCGAACCGCGTTTGTAGCCAGCCAAACCCAGGAACGCACAATCTCTGCAGAATCCTTCATATCATATCCCCGCATCCAGCCTGCCACTTCGGTGCATCTGAGAAAAGGCCACCGTCCACCTTCCGCAGGTGCTGCACTTGCCTGCGCAGAGAGGGTGCGGAAATCCTGGCACGTCTGGAACACGGGCCGGGCCCACCTTGTGGAGGTTAGCGGTTCCTTGACTGCGACACTGTGAAAAAGATGTTGGAAACAGTCTTAGCTCACAAAAGCCTCCCCAGCTTTTGCTCCAAGAGGCGATTGTCTGGATCAAGGGACTGGACAGAGAGCGCGAAACCATGCTTTGCCTTGGCTTGACGAATAACTTAAACAGATCGTTCTTGTAGCTACAAGTGAGAGTTTTGACCAAGCCGCCGGAAGACCACCAGCAAGCCGCTCACCGTTCTAACACGCGTTGTCCGCGCTGAGGCTCACCGCAGTCGCTGGCACACCCCTGTTTCCCCGAGTATCTAAGAATGTACCAGAACGACCGCACTCTGACTCTTGAAGCAGACGCATCTCGGACATCTACGATATCGGAGTTATTCACTGGAGTGTTCCATCACCCATCGTTCGTCACCCGTCGTTCTGCTTGGGCCATAACGCTTCGCTCGCAAAGGAGCCATGTCCACATTTCCAAATCTTTCTCTCGTTCGCAAGCGCAACTTAGCATCACTTGCCGTGCGGC